TTTTTTTTTTTTTTTTTTTTTTTTTTTTTTTTTTTTTTTTTTTTTTTTTTTTTTTTTTGCTGTTGAGTTGTTTAAGTTTCTTGTATATTCTTGGTATTAACCCTTTATCAGATAGATGTACAGTTTGCTAATATTTTCTCCCATTCTGTAGTTTGTCCCTTCACTCTGTTAACAGTTTCCTTTGTTGTGCAAAGGCTTTTGAGTTTGATCTTATCCCACTGTCTATTTTTGCTTTAATTGCTTGTGCTTTTGAAGTCTTATTTAAGAAATCCTTGAGCAGCCCCATGTCATGGGTCATTGTTCCTGTCCTTTTCTAGTAGTTTCATGGTTTTGGTTCTCTGTTTAAATATTTAATGTATTTTTCGTTGATTTCTGTATATGGTCAGAGGTATAGGTCTAGTCTCATTCTTTCTCATGTGGATATCCAGTTTTCCCAGTACAATCCCGGTACCATTTATTGAGGAGACCGTCTTTTCCCCAATATGTGTTCTAGGCATTTTTGTCAAAGATCAGTTGGCTGTAGGTGGTTATTCCTGGGCTCTCTATTCTATTCCATTGGTCCGTGTATCTGTTTTTATGCCAGAAACATGCAGTTTTGGTTACTATAGCTTTGTAGTATAATTTGAAGTCTGGTTGTGTGATGTCTCCAGCTTTGTTCATTTTTCTCAGGATTGTTCTGGCTATTTGGGATCATGTTGGGTTCCATAAGAATTTTAGGATTTTTTAAAATTTTGTGAAGAACGTCCTTGGTATTTTGATAGGGATTACATTAAATCTGTTGATCATTTTGGGTAGTATGGACATTTTCATGGCATTAATTCTTCCAATCCATGAACACAGGTTATGTTTCAATTTATTTGTGTCCTCTTTAATTTCTTTCTTCAAAGTTTTATAGTTTTCAATGTAGAGGTCTGTCACCTCCTTGGTTAAGTTTTTCCTAGGTATCTTTTTTTGTTTTTTTGTACTTATTGTAGTTTTGTAAGTTAATTATTTTCTTGATTTCTTTTTCAGATAGTTCACTATTAGTGTATAGAAATGCTGCTAATTTTTGTATGTTGATTTTGAATCCTGCAACTTCGCTAAATGTGTTAGATCTAATAGTTTTTTGGTAGAAACTTCAGGGTTTTCTATATATAAGAACATGTTATCTCTAAACATGGACAGTTTGACTTCCTCCTTTCCAATTTAGATGCCTTTTATTTCTTTCTCTTGTCTAATAGCTCTGGCTAGTACTTCCAGTGCTATGTTGAATAGAAGTGGTGAGAGTGGGCATACTCTTGTGGTCTTGATCCACATGGTAACAAAGTGGATTTGCTCAGTGTTGAAATTCTGTGAAACAGTTTATCATTCTCAGGAGAAGACCAAGGCAAAGCTTTGAGTGCCAAGACAGGTCCTAATGTCAGGCCTGCTTTTCTCTTTTTCTTTCATGAGTTTTCAAGTTCTTTTTTTTTTTTTTCAGCAAAATACGGTCCCAAATATAGCATTAAGAGGACATTTCTATGCCAAGTACATTTTAGTTTAAATAACAGTATTTGTACAGATTTCTATATTATTCATCCATCTCAGTAATTTATAAGTGATTTCAATTATAGGCTACTAAATAATTTTAACCTAGTTAGTATTGTAATATTTGGTTTTTGCCTGTTTCAAACACTTTATTTTATAGATGTATACACATTTGGCCATGGATGCATGCCCACATACAGATTAGTTTTTAAACTATTTTATTAAAGATCTATTATATTCTGGTTATAGTTTTTTTCCTTCAAGTTTCTAATTATAACTAAACCTACATTTATAAAACAGATGGGATCAATATTGGATTTATTTTTATTAATCTCATCCTAACAGAGATGTTGTGAAAAGTAATTACATCAAACAGGGGTTTGCATTTCAGAAATAAAGTCATTGCTTTGCTATTAAGAGAACACTCTTTATTTTTCAGAGAGCTAAAGAAGAGGCCCAGCAAAAAGAAACAAAAGTGAAACTCCTTACTGAGACTGTAAATAGTGTCATAGCTCAAGCTCCTCCTGTAGCACAAGAGGCCTTAAAAAAGGAACTTGACACTCTAACCACCAACTACCAGTGGCTCTGCACCAGGCTGAATGGAAAATGCAAGACATTGGAAGTCAGTTGCTTTACTTATTTTGTTGTCATTGTATGTCAATATATGGTCATTTGTGAAGCATAGTGATTAAGAACACGGATTGTGGTATAAAATTACGTAGATTTGAATTCTTCACTTAAGCACTTACAAGTTGTATGACTTGGTGCCAGTTGCTTAACTTGTATAAATGTGTTTCCAATCTGTAAAATGAACATAAAAATAATACATACTTTATAGAGTTATTGAGAAAATTAAATGAACAAAAGTACCCTTTGGTTTGTGGGGATTGGTTCCAGGACTCGACTCTAATACCAAAATACATGGATGCTCAAGTCCCTGATATAAAATGGCATATTGTTTTCATATAACCTATGCACATCCTTGCATATACTTTAAATCTCTCTAGATTACTTATAATACCTAAAACAATGTAAATGTTATGTAAATAGTTGTTATACTGTATTTTTTTGTATTATTTCTTATTGTTGTGTTGTTATTTTTTATTATTTTTTTTCAAATATTTTTTATCTCAGGTCAGTTGAATCTGTGACGTGAAACCCACAGATATGGAGGACTGACTGTATTCTATTTAAAGTATTTAGACTAATACTCAATAAACATAAATAGCTATTCTAATTCTTACTATTGCTATTATTATTATTAGGTCACTAAAATACTATAAATTAGATTTCTCCTAATTTATAGGAATCGGTTTCTATTTTTTATATATTTTAATGTACATAAACTTATTTAAGTATCTTAGTTGGAAAGTATTCTGTGGAGAAGTATATCTTATTTTAGTTGTCTTTAATAACCGCTTGCCCTGTAGAGTTCTTAACAAGACAAGTTGTCTAACTAGTTCTTTTTTATTTTTGGCATTTCATATTATATTGATTCATTGTCATAAGCCCTGCTTTATCTTTCTCACATGATTTGCTCTTCAGATTATGCTTATCTGAATATAGGTAAGAAATCCTGGTGCCTCATATGATTACCAAGTAATTGTATCAAAAATAAAACTACAATCCTCCTTGTAAAAATACTGTGCTAAGGAGCACAAAACTTTACCTACTACCAAATGATGATGCTGCCAGACACTGTACATGAGTTGGTCTTTAAGCTTTCTTCCCCCATGCAAACTAGGTTATTTCTGTGAATAGAGTTGGTTAAAGATTCAGGTGTCCCATTGTAGTTGAAGAATGTTATTGTTTAGTTAGCTATATATATTGAATATTTGATATTTAAAGGCAGGTACAATTCAGATCAGTAGAGCAGATTTATAAAAAACATTTTAAAATATATATTTTTACTTAAAGTACTGAGATAATTATAAAATTATAACTTTCTAGTCATAAAATATGATCTCTGAGTATCTTTATTACCAATTCTAATCTCTTCTTTTTCACCAGTCTTTTTTCTCTTTTCTTTTTTCTTTTATCCAAGTCACTACTCAGACACTAGGCAAGTACCTTCTACATGCCAGGAAGTATTTTAGTTGCTGAGGATATAAAGACACATCTCTTGTATTAGTGCTATGTGAGTGCTACAGAAAATAAAACAAAGAATAGGAAGGAAAGAGACAAGATGGTACTGTAAAAGTCTCAAGGAAGTCACAACTAATTACTAGGGGGGGAGTAACTTTTTGTATCCAGGAAATTGCTTTCTAACAATACTTAAATAAAACACTTAAATATTCTTTTTTTATGTTTTTAATGTCTTTACATAAGTATTAGTCTTTGCTTTCTATTATTCATGTCCATTTACATGATATTGTTCAATCCAACAGAAATGTATTTTGCAGTATAATTTTGAAAGGGATCTTTTCTTTTCATAATTATAACAACATTTTCAAGACCATTTATTGAACTATCCTTCCATTTCTCACTCAACTTTACTAACACTTCTAGTCTTTCCTGTTTATATTGAAGTTATCAAGTCATTCAGTCCCTTTTTATTCCTTTTCCACTGGCTTGGAACATATACTTTATATATTTTGTCTAAATGGTACTTTTAATTATCATCATGCATACCTTAATCAAAAAAATTCAGAAATAATAAATATTTCTATGAACCTCTGTAACAATAATATGGTAGACACATTAGCATGTTTTAACTCTGAATTAACTCCTCCATCTTGCTTATTATATTTGCCTATTATTTAATTTGGACCTTACCTCTTACTACTCCTAAAATTAGTCAGTACCATTGCTGCTGCTGCTATTGTTGCAATTATTATTTAATACAATATTTATTTAGATTTGCCAATGCTATTTTTACAATTTATGTGATCAGTTTTGCTTTTTGTCCTTCCTTTTGCTTCTGTGTTCAATTTACTTCTTGCTCTTTCATTGAGTGTGAGTAGGAAATGCTCTCAGATTTTGCATAATTAAAAATGCCTTCATTTTACCCTCAGTATTGAATAATAGCCTAGTTGAACATATAATTATGTAGGGACAGTTATTTTTTATAACGCTGAAGATATTATTCCCTTGCTTTGAAAATTTCTTGCTGTTAAGATGTCAGCTCTCAAATTATTATTCCTTTATAATTTTTTCTGTTAAGTTTTAATTTTCTTTGTCTTCAACGCACTGCAGTTTCACTCTATTTTGTCTATGTGCAGATTTGCTTTCATTTATAATTTGTCACCTGGGTGTGTTATAAGAACATATAAATTATTTCTTTCTTTAGTGGTTCTCCATTATATTTTTAAATACTGTCTTTTTCCCAATCTCTTCATTCCTTCCTAGGGGGCTCTTTATTAGGTCTATGAAGAATCTCCCCAACCTATATCCTGATTCTGGGTTTCTCTTTAATATTTTCTATATTCTTATCTCTATCTACTCAAATCAGGGTAATGTTCTAAAAATCTGACTTCCAATTGTCAAATTCTCTCTTCAACTGCATATGGCATAATTTATCCTTCAAAAGGGAAGTCTACTTATCTTTTTCTGTATGCACATTTATCTATATATGTGTGTATGTGCATTTATATTTTTCAAAGACCAAATTTTCCATTTTTCAAGATTTTATTTAGTTCTTTTTCAAATCTCTCTCTTCTTTGTCATGATCTTCTGCTTTTGTGTAATTAATTCTATTTCCTCCTTAAGTTAAACAACTTGAACAAATGCAATTTGTTTGGGAATTCTCACTTAATGAATAATAAGCATGAGGCCATTTTATTTTTCCGATAACTACAACAAACCATGTCAAATTCTACTTTCTGCTAAGTAGTTGTCTTCTTAAACATTATTTCAGTCTGATCCAATAACTTTTTATTCACTCTTAGTTATAAAAATTGGGTCTAATTTAAATTTCAGTCTCATACTTTATGTAAATCTTCCACCAGGTTGCATTAATCTTGTTGGTGGCTTCAGCAATTTATTGAGAGGCGGGAGTGGGGAAAAATTATCTCAAGTCTCCTTCTATCACCCAATTTCTGGATATTGATTTTCTAGTGTTAGTATAAGGAAGGATAAAGGAAAGTACTCTCTTATGAATGTCCTTTTCTTGGCTGGCCACAATTGCTATTCCCTTTTGTTAACACCCACATACGTCTGCGTTGATTATTTGTCCCCTTTCTATATGTTATCACTACTGATCTAGCTTGTTCCCTATAGACTTTATGTGGTCCGTTGGGGATCCAGGTTAGCCTTATTTAATGGACTTTGAATCCCCAAAAAAGATCTCCCAGGCATTCATGGTACCCTGTAATATTTAACAAGAATTTCAGGCTGAATCTTGCTAATAGCCTTACAACAACATTCCCTTGATGATTACAGCTTTTTGACTAATGATTCTGTGGTCCCTTGAAGTGTTATTTACTTACCCACCACATCTCAACTCAGAGCCTGTGGGCACTGGAAGAACCCATCTTCTATACCTTTTAGGAATGAGAAACTTGTAAGAGTTTTCATTGATTCCTCTTCGGACATACCAACAGCTCAACAGGAAATGCAGACAAATTACCCCTTCCTGAATTTATTTACCCACAAGATGAGCAGTTCTCTTTTAGATTCTGTAAAGAAAAGGATCCAGATGAGTTCGCCTATCCATCCCCATAAAAAGATGAGAAAGAAAAGTTGCCGATCTTTTCAAACTCTCCTCTCCACTTTCCTCTAATGTCCTCTCCATCAGCCCTCTCTATTTAGACAAGGGCTCATGAAAAGAAGTAATAGATATTCTCCCAACATAGAATGTAGGCAATGTAGCACTTCTATTTCTTAAGTTGGAACACTTATTGTCAACCTTAAGAAAATAAATCCTGCTTATACGTTTGTTTTTTTGATTTGTGAGCTCACCTATAATAGGAATTGTTTTTACTAGAAATTCCTTTTCCTCTGGACTGTTGGAAAGTCCTTATGAGTCTTTGTATTTGTTTCTACCAGGGTCTTAGAGATGTTATGCTTTGCCCTCGTGTGTGATATAAACTTGGGTTTCAACTTTGTAGGGATGGATCCTTATTTTCCAACCAAGAATCCAAAGGATTCTCAGCTTCCTTGCTAAATCCCTATACTCCAGTGGGTGGGGAATTTTTAGTTCTTGTTTCCTGGAAGGTACGGTGCATTCCATTATTATTTTATGTCTCCTGGCATGGGTGAGACCAATGTCTATTTCCCAACCCAAGTTAGTGACAAATACCCTAGCTTGTATGTTATATACCCTGTTCTCATATGCCAGTTACTTTGTTAAGCCTGGTTTCCCACTCTCTATTTGCACTTTCCTCTTTTTTTTTTTTCCTGACAGTTGAGGTTTTTCATACATGTTTTGTAGATCAAAGATGAATTTAAAATGTTTCCTTTATATTTTATCCAGCATCTCAATATGACTGAAACAGGGTGTGATGGTTTACTACATTAGCTCCGTCTAACCATTTTGAACAGAGATTTACTTTTTCTTTTGTTCTCTCCTTCAAAGCCACTTTGAATTCTGTTATTTCAGAGTAATTTTAAGTTCCAAACTGTTAAGCCTAACAGTTATTCTAAGTGGCTTTTAGCTCCAATTCAGGCTTCAAGACTGTATTTTATTTTACAAAGGTGACCTGCAAAGCTGGTACAGTCAGCCTCTCCAGCTGTGTCCTTCAGTTGCATTAAAGATGGAAGAGGCCATCCATCCTGATGGTTTAATCAGCAAGGTAGTTCATTACCTCAGTTTGCACCAAAGTTAATAAGACATTACCAATCACATCTCCTTATCTTCAAAGCTCTAAGGTATTTAAAGAAATACTTATATTTTCCTACTGGGATCTTTGCCCAGAAGGAAGACAGCCTGTAATCCAGCAGGAGCTGAAAATGACCCAGATTTAAGATTTCTATCACCTTTTTTTTTTTCCTTTTTGTCTTTTTTTTCGTGACCGGCAACGGATCGCAACCCTCGGTGTTGCGCCCGCACCTTGCTCAGCCAGTGAGCGGCCGGTCTGTATGTGAAATCCGAACCCTCGGCGGGAGTGCCGCCGCGCTCCCAAGCAGCACACTGTAGCAGTGCGCCACCGGACCGGCCCAAGATTTCTATCACCTTTTAAAGCAAAATACTTAATATCACTTTCTTTGTAATCAACTGTACATAAAATGCCAAGCAAGTATAGAAGGTTGGTAGTCTTGCAAGGCAGGTTAGACTGATACTTTCCATCAGATAGATATGGAATATCCTTCATCATCTGTAAGGGATATAAACAAATGAGAAATATGAGAAACCTGATAGATGTTTTACTTTCTCCTAAAATAAAGCTTCCTCTCTAGGCTTTGCTTTTTTTTTGGTAGTAATTTGGGGGCGGTGGGGGAGGTAGCATGTGGTGGTGAATGCACTACCTATAGGCTTGCCCAATATTTACAATTCTAAAGCTAATAGAAAATGACCTTCTCTATATTCTTATCCTCTATTGCATCTTCTGGCCTTTTCCCTAACAGATATGATCACAACCTGGAAACTCACCTTAATTGTTTCTTTGCTTAAAAATACTTTATCACACAGTATGAATGCAAAAACAATATATTGTTCAGTTTTGCTTGTTTTGAGCATTACAAAAAATGATAACCTATAATATATAGTTTTCTAGGAAGTGCTCTTTCCATCCAACATATTTGTGTCTGAGATTCAGTTCCCTCTTTTATGGTGGCATAATATATTTGTTCATTCTCCTTCCAGTGGACATAAAGGATGCTTCCTTTATTAAAAAAAATATTACAGAAAGTGCTGAAATGATCATTCTTTTTAACTGTCTTTGTTGCTTATGCAAAACAGTTTTTCTGAAGATATATGTGGGTACTTCAAAAAGTTCATGGAAAAACAGAATTAAAAGCTAATACAAATTATTCCATTAACTTTTTGAAGTAACCTCATATACTGAAAAGTGAGTTGTTGGGTTGTCAGGTATGTGAATGTTCATCTCACCGAGAATGACAAATTATTTTCCAAAATATGTGTCTTTGTTTTCCAGTGTGTCCTTCCAATTTATACACTCTCCCGTAACAAAGACAAATTTTTGTTGGTGCATATCTTCTCTTATACATGGAATTGTCAAACTTCTCATTTATGTCAGTCAACATGGTATTTCATTGCAATTTTGATATATGTTCTCTTGGTTATTAATGAGATTAAACATATCTTCATATGTTTATTGATGTGTATTGTATGCCCGTTTTTCTTTTTCTTTCAAATGCTCGTTCAGACCTTTCCTTAATTTTTCTATAGGGTTATCTGTTCATCTTTTAATTGACTTGTTGGCATTTATTTTTTGTATTCTTATGACCTACTACAATTGTCGCAATTGTTTTCTTCAAGTTTGAGGCTGTTTTTTTCAATTTCTTTATGGTATCTTTTGATGAATGGAAGGTTTTTCTTTTAGTGTTTTAGTGTTGCCAAATGTATTCATCTCTTCTCTTATATTCAATTTTTTACAAAATGTCCTATTGAAGATATCCTTCCTCATCCCCCAGTCAGAAAGATCTTTTTGCTTTCTTATAGTGATCTTTAATTTTTGTTATTTTATATAAAAGTACTTATGTTGGGCCGGCCCGGTGGCGCACTGGATAGTGCGCCGCTTGGGAAGCGCGGCGGCGCTCCCGCCCGAGGGTTCGGA